AGGTACACACACAGGGTCTGTGTCCCTTTGGAGAATAGAAGACACAGCGAAGACTATTGTGCTTTAAGAAATATGGTTTATTCACCTATTTACACCTTGCAATCTGCATGGAGGGAATTCACATCTTTCAGCATAGTCATTCCAAGAGGCAGTAGCATAAGCTGCCTGCAGCCAGCACCCTCCAAAGATGGATATCAGCCCTTCTTCCTCCTCCTCTCTCCCAGAAACCTCTTGCTTGAAAATTCCATTTTCCTGTCCCCTCAAACATACACCCCATCACCCCATTCAATGGCCCATCAACTCCTTTTGTCCTGTTAGGTTTGCTCTTCCTCCAGCCAGCCAGGATGGTTTGTATAAACCAGCCTAGGAATTCTGTTGCAGCTTGCATTCTCCTATCTTATCACAAATAACCGAAATCCTAGCATTTATTAATTTCTAGGGTTTACACTAAATCTATAACAATTTTAATAACAATTCCTACTCATCTCACTAAAAGATGGACACCACGTAGGAGGCAAATTAATTACAAAAGTAAGGTTTGTATAAAGAAAGAAGTCTTTGCCTGAAGACTGACAGCAGGTGCATCTCCCTGGGGATAGATGGAGCTACCACTGAAAAAGACCTCTTCTCGTGTGGCCACCCTCTATGCCTCCAGAACTGGAGCACCCACACTGACAAGGCCATATCCCAAGTCACCACCCATCTAATAGCAATATGTGAGGGGAATCTAAAGGCAAACAGCCCCAGATGATCCTAAAGCATAACCAGGTTCCAACAGGAGAAGGCAGCCCTTGAAATACGCCACTTAGCACTGAGGTAATCTCTGAACATCTCACACAATCCCTCTGCCATCTTCACCTCACATGCAGCCTGGGCAGATTTGCTGCTTTTCCCTCAGCGCAGTTTTGAATACTTTTGGAGACTGCTGCAGACTGAAACCATCTATGTCAGCTTTACAAGGGAAGACGCTGATCCATTGTGACACTCCCAATGCACACTCCAGCTTCTTCCCATGTGGCTTATGAGGTTAAATCTCTTCCAGATATCTGCATCGTTAAGGGAATCACACCATATAAGGATAATGAACTAGTCCAGACAGGCACAAAATTCAATCTTGATTTAGTTGCACAATGCATTCCTTTCCAGGTGGCAGATTGCCAGCAAGATTTTGTCACTCCTCAGCTGTGGCTATTTATCTACAAGTGGAACCTTGCAACAAAACATTGCAGTGTGGAGTACTCCTGTTTTGGAATCCTGCCAGCCAGTCAAGTCCTTTCCCCAGGACACTCCAATTTAACCCCCTTCCGGTTTTCAGTTCACCCGCTACCATTCCATGCCAACTAAACATATTCAATCTTCAATGGGTTGTTTGGGATTATTTTTCCCCAAATATGTTTTCACTACTCCACAAAAGGCTGCCAATGGCTGTTTCTTGAGCTTATATGGCAGCCTTTTAGCTTCTATCGGAGAATTGTGTTTGCTGTTAGCTTGCTGTTAGAAGCAGGGATCTTTATTATAGCCCAAGGGCTGCATTCCTTCATTGGCAACTTTCTGGGGGCTGGATACTAGGGGTGTTCATGGTGTTTGGAATGAGCTAATACACATTTGCTAATCCACTGAATTAGTTAAAAATATAAATGAATGACACCTGAATGTAGTTGCTGTAATTTCCAAGTGAACTGGATGTCAGTTAAGTTCCTTTTGCAGTGGAACTTGCAAACTTGTGCAATTTTAAATTCAGTTCCATTTTAATTTTAATTCAACTATATACATCAACAGAAGTATAGTGTCCAGATCAAGGGAAGTTATAGTGCCACTCAATTCTGCTTTGGCCAGACCACACCTGGAATACTGTGTCCAGTTCTGGGTGCCACAGCTGAACAAGGATATTGACAAGCTGGAACGTGTGCAGAGGAGGGCAACCAAGATGACTAAGGGTCTGGAAACTAAGCCTTATGAGGAATGGTTGAAGGAGCTGAGTATGTTTAGCCTGGAAAAGAGGAGACTGAGAGGATGTATGCCATTTTAAACAACAACAACAACCATCTTCAAATATGTAAAGGAGGATGGAGGATGTAGCAAGCTTGTTAAGGAGGCTAGGACCTGAACCAATGGATTCAAGTTACAAGGCGATTCTGACCCAGCATCATGAAGAACATTTTTATGGTAAAAACAGTGGATTGGACTCCCTTGGAAGGTGGTGGACTCTCCTTCACTGGAGGCTTTTAAGCAGAAGTTGGATGGCCATATGTATGATCTAATTGAGATTCCAGGAGGCTGGACTAGATGTTCCTCAGGATCCCTTCCTACTCTAAAATTCTATGATTCTGTGGTATGAAAAAGAGTCTGGAGGGCCAGACAAAAAGGCCTGGAGGGCCACATTTGGCTCTGAGGTTTAGGCCTGAAATTCTTCACCTTGGTATATATGGGATTGTCACAGAGAAACACCTATCATTATTATTATTATTATTATTCCCATATTATTATTATTATTCACATAGCATGGCTTTAAAATAGGTAAATTGAAATGTAGGGCTTACAATAGAAAGCCATTCTGCAATGTGCAAGGAATCAGAAACCCTGCATGGAATACTGTCAGCTTCAATCCAACATTACCAACCCCAGGGTGGTCAACAGGCAGCTTCTCCAATTCCCTCTACCTCCTGTCCTGTCCTGAATAGCCCCTACACTATTTATCTTCAGGACTCATGAGACTGGTAAGGCACAGAAGCTATATAAGATCTCCTTCCTGAGCCTTGCAGTTGTTGGACTTGTTTGGACTGTTCTACCCTCCCACTCAGCTCTCCTTGGGGAGTGTTTTGCTAAAATGCTTATATCTCCTGGGACTGAAATCTTAGCCCCGAGGGTCACTTTCTGGAGCATTGCACAATTCAGGTTGCACAATTAAAGTTGGTTGGAAGGCCTTGCACCACATATCCAATTCCTCAAGGTCAGACACTTTGTGGTAAGGAAGGTGACAGGAAAACACACTGGGAATTGTAGGATAGTGCTTCCTTCAATGCAATGATGTCTAATCTCCTTGCAAATAAACGGTGGCATTAGCTCCTGGCTCAAAAAAAGAAAATAAATCCTATAGGTTCCACACTATGATGTTAAGATTTCAGGCCAGTTAAACAGAGAACCCAACCTCCTGCTGTTGTATAAATCAATATATATGTGTCTTTCTATATGTGATGGGTAGCAGGGAGGATAATAAAACCTCCCATATCAGAATTCTGATGAAACCTGCACCAGCTTAATTATACATTTTACATAATTACATCCACAGTTTCTGATTTTGTGAAACAGCATTACAGTGGTACCTCGGGTTAAGTACTTAATTCATTCCAGAGGCCCGTTCTTAACCTGAAACTGTTCTTAACCTGAGGTACCACTTTAGCTAATGGGGCCTCCGGCTGCCGCTGCGCCGCTGGAGCACGATTTCTGTTCTCATCCTGAAGCAAAGTTACTAACCTGAAGCACTATTTCTGGGTTAGCGGAGTCTGTAACCTGAAGCGTATCTAACCTGAAGTGTATGTAACCTGAGGTACCACTGTATAATAATGCTGTGCCACTACTAGAGTGAGACCAGGGTGGTGTTGGTCCTGTCATCTGGGAAGCCCAGGACCTCCATGCACACTGCCCAGGCTTGCCCCCCACAGCTATAACTATGCGAGAGGCAGCAGTTACGAGTTACCAGTCTCTGCTGCCACAGCAGGCGCTGTGATTCTCCAGTAGTTTGACTTTGCTTCTGGAGGCACACTGCATTGTCCTTTGAGGGATGCCAACAACAAATGTTACTAGGTTCTTAAAAAATTAGCCTGTTGTCCTTTTATTTGGAGATTATAACTTTTTGATCAGTTTAGAAATTGGGTTTAAAAGGCATAATTGTTCCACCTCCATGTTTTGTATCCAACTGTGCACTAAAAAAACCAACACTGATACAATGCAGGGTTATTTATTATTTTCAGACAGCAGGCACTGGGTCTTTGGGCTGGGGGCAGCTGGGTGCAGGGATGAAGCATGAACTCTTGGTTCTCAAACTTAATCCGTTCTGGAAGACCGTTTCAAAACCAATGTAAAATAATTGCATTTTACCTTAAGTCTCCTTAAGACTGTTTATTTTGTAGTAAGTCACTGACAAAGTAATGAATAATAATAAAAATTATAGTAATGACTCTTAAAGAGACAGGCCACACACACACTAGTCATGCCAGGACATGTTTCCTTTTGTTTAGCCTGCCTTGTGTATTTTTAGCCCTAGTAAAGGTAAAGGGACCCCTGACCATTAGGTCCAGTCGTGACCAACTCTGGGGTTGTGGTGCTCATCTCGCTTTATTGGCCGAGGGAGCCGGCGTACAGCTTCCGGGTCATGTGGCCAGCATGACTAAGCTGCATCTGGAGAACCAGAGTAGCGCACGGAAATGCCGTTTACCTTCCCGCCGGAGCGGTACCTATTTATCTACTTGCACTGTGAAGTGCTTTCTAACTGCTAAGTTGGCAGGAGCAGGGACCGAGCAACGGGAGCTCACCCCGTCACGGGGATTCGAACCGCCGACCTTCTGATCGAGCCCTAGAAAAGCTATAATTGTAACAACTACTCGCCAACAGCAGTGTGATGTGGAGAGTGGACCTCCCATTCATAGGTGCACTAGCCCATCCAAAGAAGAAAACATAAGCAACAAATAATTTATGAGCTCAACATGTGTTCTTTATGTACATGACTCACTGAATATACACCAAGCAGGGTTGTTGTATATCTTCAGCAGCCCTAGGGCTGCACTGAACACACACACACACCAGCTTGAAGATCCAACAGTTCCAAGAGATTTCAAAATTCCAACGACATATTCTCATCATGATAAAGCTCACAGTTACTTTAGGGCATTCTCTGCTGCACCACAAAGCAGTATCTTTTGGTAGATCAGAAACCTGGAGAAATCTAATTGTTTAAAACAAATATCCAGGACTTCTCCGAACTCCTCTTCCAAACTTATTTCTCTGGGATAGCTCAGCCGGTATAGCATGAGACTCTTAATCTCAGAGCTGTGGGTTCTAGCCCCACATTGGGCAAAAGATTCCTGCATCACGGGTTAGACTAGATAGTCCTTGAGGTCTCTTCCAACTTTACAATTATACGATTCTATGATTCTTAAACTTTCCCAGAGATTTTTCAATGCATTCTGCTCTTAATGATGACAATGGTCTAATGGCCAACCATTTTTTGCCTTTTGGTGTTTATCTTTTAGTTGGGTGGGATAGGATGTGCCCTTTTTATGTCATTGCAGAATGAGCACTTCTGGTTAATAATAGCTTTTAAATCTTTTTAATTCTGATTTATTTTTTTAAGGTACAGTATGTTCTTTTTAAAAAGGCTGTAAGTTGTTCTAAGACAAAATTTTATATGGACAAAATATTTTTAAGTTATCCTGTTAAATAGATAGTGCAATTACTAGATACCCTCCCCATCTTTTATAGTGAGGAATATATCTAATGACTCAGACCTCTGTGGTAAATATTAACAGTTAAGCATGACATTAGAAACACAGGGTTACTGAGAGGTTATAGTAAAAATAAATGTATCCCTAGAGGTCCCATTGCTCGGTCCCTGCTCCTGCCAACATAGCAGTTTGAAAGCACGTCAACATGCAGATGTTGGTTAAAGATTTAAGAAATGCGTCCCCAAATGTATGTTTAGGTTAAAAGTGTGTCCTAGGTCTGAAGAAAGTTGAAGACATCTGTATTAAACAGTCATGCCTCCCGTCAAAGAATCCTGGGAACTGTCTTAGAATTTCCTAGGAAGAGGGACTTGATTTTTAAACCACTTATTGACTTATTTGGTCTTACAGGGGTTTTTTTTATAAAAATAAATAAATTCACGCATTTAGATAGATATAGATATTGTATGTGCTGCTTTTTTGTAGAATACTTGAATACGTTCGTGGTATTAAGCAGTATATAAATATATAGATTTTTTAAAATAAAAAATAAACCCTTAAAATGAGCCATAAAACAATTAAACTATAGACACAGGAGGTAACAATAACAATAACAACAACAACCATATTTAAAATTTCCTGAGAGTGTATTTTTAAAAGAATAACTAAGAAGGTGGCCATGGAAACTTCCTGGAGGATCATATTCCATAACTATGATGCAACCACTGAAAAGGCCCTGCCTCTGGCACTTGTCAACCTAATCTCTTTTATTGTCAGGCAAGAGATAACCATATTGCTAGGGGTGTAGGTGATCTTTCAGGCAATGTGGTTCCAAGCTATTTAGGGCAAGTGTGGGGAACATTTGGCCCTCTAGATGTTGCTGAACTAAATTTCCCATCAGCCTCAGCAAGTATGGCCGATGGCCATGAATGATGGGAGTTGCAGTTTTTCAACATTTGAAAGGCAAAAGGTCCCCACCACCACCACATCTGATTCAGGACTGGAGCGGCCAAAACCTTCACTTTATGTCTGGAAACAAATAGGCAGCCAATGTAAACAGTACAGAATAGTGCTGCCACATTCTTTACCAATTGAAGTTTCCAAACCATTTTTGAAGGCAGAACACATTACAGTAATCTAGTCTGGATATAATATGTCACTGAAACAAAGGCTGCTTTCTCCAGGAAGTGTTCCAGCAGGCAAACCACTACGATTAATCATTTTGAATCAAAATCTATTGGGGTTTCTAAAACACCATGGGGGCCTCAATTTAAGATGCAGTTCTCCAACCAAATTAACCAAATTTCCCCAGACCCTCCAAGTGTTCCTTTTTCCCAGGGACGTCCCTGATTTAGAGAAGCCATTCCAGTTTTTTATTTGATCCTGGAACGTCCTGCTTTTCCTTAGAATTTCCCTGTTTTCATTGGAGAAATGTTGGAGGCTATGGAGGGAACACTCTGTGAAACTCACCTACAAGTGGTACCTAACACCACGGAAACTGGCACTGATACACCCAGGAACCTCACCAAGATGTTGAAGAGGCTGCACCTCCACAGGCACATATCTCCACATGTGGTGGGAATGCCCTAAAATCCAACCTTTCTGGGCAGCAGTCCTGGAAGAGATATGCAAAATAACTAAACAGGTATTAGAACTCACCCCAGAACTGGCCCTACTGAACATCTTCCAAGATCATAATGGCCACTCACATCATAGAGAGCTTATAACCCACCTACTCTCAGCAGCCAGAAGCCTCATAGCCAGACACTGGAAAGACTTGTCAGAAGTAAACATGGACCAATGGTATCAAATTGTATGGGAAAAGGCCTTACTAGAAAAGCTAACCAATAAACTGAAACTGACACCAGGACAAATAGAAGAGAATGCCTTCACCCCAGTATGGCTCCCAACAAGACAACAACAAGAATCTCCTGACAGCATACAAATCAACCTGGCTTACCTGACCCAACAAGCCCCCCCCCCCATGCAAACAAACGCCACCATGGCCAACCACAGACAACCAACCACACCCTGTCCCCAAATACCAAGGAAATGTAATAAACAAATAGAAAGAGAATCTACCCAGTTGACCCTGACACAAAACCCCACGTGTACACTTTGTTGTTATTTAGTTGTTTAGTCATGTCCGACTCTGCAAAAGAATATAAGCCTCACCACCTCACCCCTCATCTCCCCCTCTTCTTCCCCAACCTTATACTGTACTCAACACTAATGTCTCATAACAAATGTAACTGATTTGTAAGAAAGACTGTTCAACCTGAAAAAAGAGACAAGGCATGTACTTTTGTAAACCAATAAAATCTTTAATAAAAACATTTTTTTTAAATGAACTGTTTGCTCAGAAGTAAGACCTAATTTATACAGCTGTACTTACTTCCAAGCAAGTGGGTAGTAGGTTACAAGCTTAGAGCCTGAGCCTGTACAAATTTACCCAGAAGGAAGTCCCACTGATTGCAATGGATCTTCCTTCCAAGAAAGTGTGCAGAGGTTTGCAGTTTCAGCCTATCTCTGAACAAAACCCAGAATTCAGAGTCCTTGGGTTGTATCCAATCTTTGTCATCCTCAGAGTAGACCCACTGAAATTATTGGGGAGCCACTGCAGAGAAGGCCTGTTCTTGTATTTCTGCATTGCGGGGGGTTGGACTAGATGACCCTTGTTGCCCCTTCCAACTCTATCGTTCTGTGGTTTTTCAATAGCAAACCCCTCTATTCTACTTGTGGACTTCCCAGAGGCTTCTGGGTGGCTATGGTGGAAAACAAGATCCTGGGCTATAAAGGCCTTTGGCTCTTATCTGTCAAGGCTCTTAGGGTCTTATCTGAATTGCTGTGCCCCTTCCTCGAATGTCGTGTGCCTGAAAATTATTCAAAGAGATTTTGGGTGCTCTAGATCAGATGGGGGATAACACTTCTTTATAGCTTTTGCTTAGGCAAGGATTAGTGCTGTACCAAAATCAATTTTCCAGTTTCTGAAAAATTGTTCTTCCTCCTTCTTGAGAAACTTGCGGATTTCTTTAGAGTTTTAGTTCATACCAGGCAGAGCCTCTTCTTTCTTTTCCAGTTGGAACTCACTGGAACTCAATTTTGGCACCTCTCAGATGAGCGCCATTGCTATTATAACAGAACAAGGGAGGCGGTCATGGTGAGTTCTGGCCCTCTCTTTTTCTAGAAAAATAGCACCGATGCCAGGTTTCAAGCATGCCTTATCATTGCAAGATGACTAAATGCAGTGGGTGTTTCCCATCAAACATTTCTCCGGCATTCTGCAGCTTCATAGACTAACCATGCTTCCTGGTTTCAAAAAGCCCCATAGGAGTAGTAACCTCATGATGCCTTCCCATGGGCTTTGATTGAAGTGTCATCACTCAGGAAGGCTACTGAATGCAGACTATTTATGAGAAAATAGTCTCATAAATGTAGAATGAGAGGATGCTCACAACCACCTTTCACCCCATCTGCAAAAGGCACATCACAAACGATATATCCAACTCTTGAGAATTTAATTCTAATTTTCTCTTCCCCTTGGTAATTTTTTAATGCAATTTCTTTCCTTGTTAATAGATGGAAAATAGGGTTTAAAACACACACACACAAGAGAGAAGAAGAAGAAGAGGAGGAGGAGGAGGAGGAGGAGGAGGAGGAAGAAGAAGAAGAAGAAGAAGAAGAAGAAGAAGAAGAATCTTTCTCCACTGCTGTACTAAGTATTGCGCATTAATTAGTCTTATTTAGCAGCTTTCTTCTTGCCATTTCTGCCCCTATAATTCAGGGGTGGGAAATATTTCTCAGATTGCACTTGCATAAGAACATAATAAGATAATACTGGATCAGGCCAATGACTCATCTAGTCCAGCATCCTGTCCTCACAGTGGCGAAACAGATGCCTGTGGGAAACCAGAAAGGACAACATGATCACAAGAGATTCCCAGCAACTGGTATTCAGAAGCATTGCTGTCTCTGACTGTGGAGGCAGAGCATAGCCACCAAGGCTAGTAGGTATTGAATTTGTCTTCCGTGAATTTGTCTAATCCTCTTTTAAAGTTATCTGGGTTGGTGGCCGTCACTGCCTGCTGTTGGAGTGAGTTCCACTATGTTGTGTGAAGATCTGTCCTGAATCTTCCAACACTCAGCTTCATTGGATGTCCACAAGTTCTAGTGTTGAAGAGAGAGGGAGAAAAACTTTTCTCAATCCACTTTCTGCATGCCATACATAATTTGAAAAGACCTTTCCCATGTTGCATCTGGGCAAGCTTCCAGGAACCATATGCCAGCAGTGGACAGAGCCAGAGGCAAAACTCAGTAGAGCAATGAATGCAAACTTTATATTTGTACAATATGTTAGTTTCTACACACATGCTCACACACCGCTCTGTGGACTCAGCTACATTAGTCAAAAAACAGCATTTTAAATGTGTTATAAACATGCAATGCCAGATGGAGATGTAGAGCACAAAACGACTTATTTATAGCCTTTTCCCCTGTGTGTAGATCCACCCTCTATACCAGATGCACTGATTTACATTATTTTAACAAGGCTGCACATGTTCTGTGGGAGAGCTGAGGAAGGGAGCAGCCACCATTATGGACAACTAGTTCACCACCTCAGAATACCTTCCATGATGC